AATTTAAATGCAGTACTAGATGGGCAGCAAGGTCTCATCATTTTACAGTGGAAATGGCCTAGATGTAATCATAAGTTCTATGCTAACAGTTTCTACTATTACACTGCTTGTTTGTGAAACTCTTCTTGCTTCCCAGTCAACTTTGATCATCAAAAATTCAAATGCAATATCAATCATTATCTTCTGTCTTCTTAATTCCTGTTCTTTTATTGTTCTCTCTCCATAGGAGAGGTTTTTTATATTTTCTCACTCAGTAATCATATTTTTTTAATCATTTTTACATGAAGCAAGGCAATAGAAAAAGGTGCCAAGTGCTGAGATATCTTAGTGATTTTATTGCCTTGCTACATGTCAAAGGATTAAAAAAATAATGATGATTTACTATCAGAATTTCATATCAGGCATAAGTCATTTAATATCACTGTATTTCCATGCTTATAAGATGCTTTGATGCATTAGACTACCCAAAATATTTTAAAGAAGAAATCAGAAAAAAAAAGAAGTTATTTTTACTTGTACTTCATAGCTCTCCCCACTACCTACAATTGTACCCACTGAATAGCATATTTCAGCATGAAAACCTGACCAATCATGACAAATTCATCACAGACCAAGAAGAAGTACCAAATTTATGGTGACTATTTAGAATGTAATAATTAGAAGAGAAGTTAACTCATCACTCTCATTCAATTTATAGGATGCAGGGTGGTTTTGGAGATATAAGAAAAATGCATCTTATAAGTTAGCAAAATATGGTAGTTTTGATTAAAAATACTTTTAGTTAACTTGAAGACAGGGATAAATCTAGTCTGAGAATTGTGTTGTTAACACTTCAAGAAAAAAAAAATAATGTTCTTTTCTATGAAAAAAAAAAAAAAAAAAAAGCATATTTTTATTTAATCAGACTAGCATATCCCCATTTTTGTTTTTATCATATTTTAGCACATGGACTACAAACATTGATGAGATTCAATGGATTCACAAATGGTGTGTGGGTATCCATTTGGATTAATCACAAACGCCTGTTAGGTGGTGCTATTACACACAAACAAACAAGCACATTTTTAATTCATAGTTTAATATCTTTTCCTTGACTTTCAATTGTGTACACATTAATATCATTTATGTTAATAAATGCATGATTTGTTGATCGTTTTAAATTCCATGTTTTGTATTTCTTAATTTTATCCGAATTTACATGAGTCCACCATGTGGCAGCACAGTAGAGTAATGGTTAGCAACTTGGATTGAGGAATTGGAGAAATAAGTTTGAATTCTAGTTGAGTTCATTGCATTCATTTACATATTGGAAAATGTATGAATCCATCTCTCCCAAGCTATGGGTAAAATAGCAGGGAAGACTGGATTCTATAGATTTGGGTGGCAACAAGTCTAGAAGGAAACTGAATTCAAACTGGATCACACTATCCTAAAAGCATGTATACACATGGCCTGAGACTGCTTGCAAATCCAAATTTCTACTGAAATTCTTACTATAGATTTGTATGTCCAAATGAATACAACCTCTGCTGCACTTGTTCAGGTTTTGTTTGGAGGTGGCAGATTTGTTTGATGGAGCTAGCTCAACTCACTGGGTGAATACCACAATAGGTACAGGTAGGTAGTCCACCAAATATTGTTTGCAAGACAAACGCTCCAGGTGTTGTTAAATATTCACTGAAAAGTTTCCATACACATCACAAAAGTGGTGAGTCCTACAACAGGTTCACATAAATTGTTTATGAAAATTACACAAATTTCCTTAGCCTTTATGTCCATCAACAAAAGATTTAGAGATTTAAAAAAAAAAAAAAAAAAAAAAAATTTTTTTTAAATACCCAGTTCCTAATTTCAGATTTGAGATGTAAAAGAATGCAATCCTAAAAATTCCCAACATAGGCTATAGCTTTCATTGCATAGATATTGCTTCTGCTGATATTCATTATAATTCTTTTTCAAACTTGGACTTTCATGCCTGCCAAAAAAAAAAAAAAAAAAAAAGTGTCAAAAAGGAGAGTTTTTCCATTGACACTGCTATTATTTTAACTACCTTCACTCCACAGCAATGTTTGTTTTAAAAGGCAATGATTAGAATTGTGATAAAACCTAAACATATGATAAAAGTGAATTTATACATTTTTTTTGTTTTAGAGAATTTACAAAAAAAAAAAAAAAAAAAAAAATTATTAAAAAACATTGAATAAAATAAAAAGGTGTCTTATAGGCTATTAAGCACGGCAGCTTTAAAGTATTAGTTAAGGTCATAAAATATCACTTGACTCCATTTAATCAATAGATCTTAGTATTTTTTTTTTTATTTGAAAGTACATTCAGATGCAATCTGAGTCTTGTAGCTTTTATATATACATATATTTTCATTAAAGATGACTGATAAGGTACTGTGATTAAGCTTTTTATTTCATTTTTCTTTTGATACAAGTTGTGTAAAATTGTCCAAACATTCCGTATGACTGAGCACTTTCAGCTATTCTTTTAGCCATTACCAAGGATGGTTTTTATTTTTATTATTAATTGAATATGTAGATTTTTATGCATGTATCTAGAATTATGAGGATGTTTTATTTTTACTTTCCAAATACAGTTAGCACATACATAGTATTGTGTGAACTATAGTGAACAAAAAAAATTCGAATTGCAAAAATAACACTTCATAAACATGTTATTAGATGGACAAAGTCAACTATTAGTTGTGACCCTAAGCACAAATGTAACCCAAATATGAAAGTAGGCAGTGTAAAGACTGATTACCCACATAAACTAGAGATATGGCAGTACTTCTGTTAGATAAAAAAAAAAAAAAAAAAATCAAAAGCAGAGAAAGTAACTAAAATTAGACATTGTACAATATAGTAATTTCATCACTTTTTCCTTTGTGGCTATGCAATTAAATGGATTTGTGTTGTCAGATTAAATATAAGATTTAGGAAGGTTTTTCATTATGTTTTAAGGATCAAATCAAGTTTGGTTTTGAGAAAATATTTTGTTTCTGTTATATAGTGAAGAAAGAATTTTAACAATGCTAATTATTACTCATGAGTAAAGAGGAAAGCAAAACAATTTCTATTTGAAAAATTTCAATAAATTGTGTGTAACTATATTTGGTCAGACTATTGTTTAGGGCTTGCTTTATTTTTACTCTTACAGCCTCACAATTCAGGTCTCTCTAGGTTAAAATAATTGATAAGATCAAACTGTCTATGCTTTGGTAGATGTCTTTGTAAGCAATCAAAATTAATGCTTTAATAAGAGGTACTTTTCTGTAAAAGTGTATATATATATATATATATATATATATATATATATATATATATATATATATATATATATATATATATATATATATATATAACTGGTTTGTTTTCCTGTATTTTACAAGCTTTAGGTTTGGGGGGAGGAGTTGTTTTTTTTTAATATAGTAAAATTTAATTTTTTTTTTTTTTTGATTTCTTGGAAAATGTAAAAAAAGTAGTTCTAAATAGAATCCATATAAGCTTTCACAATCTAAGTAAAGACAAACCAATTTAATAAAAATAAAAATGTAAAAATGAAAATCATTTCCGAAATTTGGGACATGTTAAAAAGTCATACAAAAGGCAGTCTCCAAAAAAAGTTAAACTCAAAAAATCAGCAGGGGATGAAATACTTATTTTCCCCACTGTATCTCCTGAAAATAGATTTATGTACTTACTGCTATGCTAATCTCTAAGTAAAGAGAGTTACTTGGCATAGATTTGCATAGATGAATTGGTATTGTCAGTTTACTAACTACAACTTGTTGCAAAGTCATTTGTGTGTGTGTGTGTGTGTGTGTGTGTGTGTATATGTGTATGTGCGCGTAATTTTTTTTTTTTATATCATTTCACCCAAAGCAAGGCAATAGCCACTAAGATGCAAGGTGTTACTAAGAATAAAAAAAATAATGAAAGAAACTGAAAAAAGGAGAAAGGATAATAAAAAGAACAGGGTTCAAGGAGACAGATGATAAATACAGTGTCAATCATAGACTAGTATCGTCTTGAATCCTCTTCTTTTTATCATCCTTCCTCCTCAGTAATATTTTCTCACTAACATCTTTTATTCTAGTGTCTATTGCAGCGTTTCAATTACCCTTGTGAAAAACAGGAAAACCCTGCATAAAAAATTATTATAAACCATTATCAATATCTATCTCTTATATTTATTTTCATAGTTCACACGGTAAACATAATATATGGACACTGTGCACACATTCTGTACTCAAGTGAGTCACTCAAGGATACACAAATCTGCCACCAACGGGTTCTTCCCATTAACCAGTGAAAGTGGCTTCACACTGATGCTACATAATCATCACTAAATACATTCTCTATGATTATTATAATTTTAAATTATATATATATATATATATATATATATATATATATATATATATATCTTTATTATAATAACCAAGAATTTGCCAACAATATTCATGGGTGAAAATGATCATTTACTAATGTTTTTTTAATTCCAATTGTATGCTTGAGATTGATTATATATATATATATATACACACACACACACACACAGAGACAGACACACAACTTTGCAACAAGTTGTAGTCATTTAACTCAAAATGACAGTTTGCCTATACAAATCGATACCAAGCAACACCCTTTATCTAAAGAGATTAGCAAAGCAACTCAAAATCACGACTCACAGATAATCAAAAATACATATTACTTAAATACATTTATACTTCCCTTTTCTTCTATAAACTACTGGGAATGAGATTTAATGAATTTTTTCCTATATCAGACATGTCCATTTCTATGAACATTTTAAGTAATATTAAGTTTACTAAGTAAAAATAGATCTGCCAAAAAATAACATTACAGAATGTTATAAAATTTTTTTCTAAATTGCTGTTATAAATCTCACAATTATTGAATGTGTATTTATTATATTAATTGTGACAATGACAAATTACCAATGCCACTATACCAATGCACAGTACTCACTCTCTTTGGACAATTTCAATATAGTTGTTAGGTATGTAGCCAGTGTTTCCTCCCATCGTTGCTCGGTACCAATTAGGATCTGTCTCCATGTCAATAATCTGTGAAAGAAAATAAATATAAAAGGGTGACTACTCTCTGGTCAAAAATCAAAAGTATTAAATATTTAGAAGTAAAAATAAGTGACTTTATTTACTTTTTTTTTTTTCTTTACAAGATCCTTGCAGTACACAGAACCACAATTACACCAAGCATTGCTCCTGCAATTTCAGTAGCCAGTTAATTTTTTGAGCAGTTAACTATCCACTTCAAATATGGATTCTCTCTTGTAAGTTCCCAGCTGGGAAGCTTATATAACAAGGTGGTAAAGATCAGCTAATTAAATAAATTATACAAATTACAACCCACCAGATGTGTCTAGGAGGCATTACTACAAATATACAATTTTGAAGTGGACATTAACTTTTTTTTTTTATATATATTAAATTAAAACTAAAAACAAGTGTAAATCATAAACTAGGTAAAAAGTTCAGATTGTGATGGCCAATCAGCCTTCTTAGATAATTGCCTGGGAATGATTTCTTTAAAAGTAAAGCAACTACAATTCCCATTCTGTTTTTGCCACTCCCATCTCCGAAATATTTTCTCTGTACTACCAGAAGCAGGGTCAGTTAACTTTAATCAATTTACCTGAAGCAAGGCAATAATCCCACTAAGATGCAAGGGGTTACTGGGAGTAAAAGAGAATGAGAAGACTTTAGAAGGAACGGGAAATGTAATCCAAAACTGGAAACAAAGAAACTTCATTGCTATAGTGTAGAAAACTCTTAATGCCAATAGTATCTTCACTGCTGTCAACTGTTCACTTCTTCAGCAAATATGGCTTCATTCACACACACAATTATGGAGAGGACATTTATGCAAAACCAATGTCCAAGATAAACTACCTTATAATTCTACAGAATATCTAATTACCCAACTAGAAGTCATTGTTTTCTGAAGAATATTCTTTAAACTTTTATGACATACAGTGAAGAGTCACTAGAGTTAACAACTATAATTTTGAAAATTTATTATCTATCCAAATGTTTTCAATTTTCAGTAACCCCTTGCATCTTACTGGCTTTATTGCCTTGCTTGGGGTGAAATGATTAAAATTAAAAAATTCTTAACAGAAAATGCTCAGTTCTATTTTAAAATGTATTACTTAAAGAGTATAACATTTCTAATAACTATAAATGCTTAAAAACATGAAATTTTGCAGATTAATAATTATTTTTAATTTAATTAAATTTTATTAATTCTTATTAATAATTTTCCTTGAAGACATTTTTTATTTGATCTAAAATGGATTAGCAGAATGTTTTCTAAATGTGTCCACTATATTTTAAATCTATTTGTTTGTTTTACAAAATCTTAATATAGATTTTTTTAAAGTTTTTCTTGAACTCTACATAATCTAAAGTGAATGCATTCATTAACTAATTACTGAATCAATAGAAATAATATTTTTCTTTAAGTCCAATGTTAAGTGCCTACAACAAAATTAAGGTAGTTTATTGCCTTAACCTCTTCTTCAGCATAGACATTTTACCAAAAGTGTCTTTCTCAGACATGGACAAATAAACACGTCCAAAACATAACGTTCAAAAACCAGCTACAGCTTATAGAAACGAGTCCAATTGTCGACATATACAGCCACCACTCAGGTACTTCAAGGTGCCTCAGTTTCTTAGTTACTATATTATAAAAAAATTTGTTTGAAAATGAAATGTTTTTCCCCAAAATAATTTGCGGGAAAGGAGTTAACAACTACTTCCATTAAGTGTATATATGTAGGTACAGAAATTTAACTATTTTGATAATATAGTAACAGGTTACAGAAAGTGTGAAATAGAAATCTAAAGGTATATAGGAACAGCAAAAGACGCCTTCCAGAAACTAAAGAATTTATTAAGAGAGAGGAAAATGAAGACAGCTTAACAGCTATGTAATATCTAATCTCCTATAAGACAGTAAATAATATAGAATTTCCTCACAGATAAAGAAAAAAGTTGAAGTAACAGGCATATGGTTCTACTGATGAATAATGGTCAGACTGTGGGAGTCATAATGAAGTTTTAAAGAGAATAGAAACTGAAAGGAAACTGATACTTACAATCAGAAAGAGGCAGCTGAAATTTCTGGGACACATGAGGAAAGAAGGAGAATTTAACACTCATAGGTCCTACTGGATACAGGAGAAGCAAGAGACAGAGTAATATACTTAAATGAGTGAATGGATAACACATGGTGCCCAGTAAAAAAAAAAGTGGAAAATTTATTCATCAAGATATTATACCAGCTCTAATTGGTCCATCTAAGTGGCTCTCTAAAAGCCCAGATCTGAATGTTATAGATTACTGTATTTGGAGTATACTCATGACACCATCAATATTGATTCATTGAAGTGGAACTTAACTGAAGCTTGGAATGAAAATCCTCTTGACATTATCCACAAAGCTACTGCATCCTTGTTACCACATTTACAACTTTGTGTTGAACATTCAGGCAAACATTTCAAGCATCTACGATGATTGTTCAGTTTGTGCATGAATCATGATAGCTAAATAAATTTTTCTGAATTTACCACATTTTTTTTTTACTGGGCACCATGTAGAACAAGGACAAAGAAGAATGTTAAAGTGTCAAAAGAAGTTGTGGAGAGCAACGAAAGAAAATAGCACATAAAATAATGATATATAAATAAGTAAAAGCATTTTCTTTTTAAATCATTTCACCCCAAGCAAGCCACTAAGACACAAGAGTTTACTGAGTGTGAGAGAATATGAGAAAAAAAGAAAAACTATTAAAGAGAGAGAATAATAAAACACAGGAATTAATAAGACAGAAGATAACAATTGATATTGCATATGAATTTTTGAAGATCAAAGTAGACTGGGAAGTAAAAAACCAGAAGAGAGTTCCACAAGTGAGAAACACGATAGAAGAAACTGCTAGCATAGAACTTATGGTTACATCTAGCAGCCATTTCAGCTGTAAAATGATGAGACCTTGTCACCATTTTAGTACTACATTTAAATTCCTAAAGTCTATATACCATAGAGGAAAGTTCATCAGAACAATTACCATGAAAGTATTTATAGGAAAGAGAAACTACGTTATAGCAGTGGGAAAGTGAGTGAAGCTAAGATGCCAGGTCAGGACCAATAACATTGTATTTTCTTTGGATTTTTATCAAGAATCTCTAAATACAGGGTGTCTCAAAAAAATGTACTCACACTTTGAATGACGAGAAAACCTTTATTTATGAACATAGAGTGAAATGGAATAGCTTCGAATACAGAAGAAAATTAATGCTTTAATAAGAGGTACTTTTCTTGTAATTGAAGAATCATGTTTGCAAATGTTCAAATTGATGACCATTATTGTCCAGACAATGCATAAAAAGCATGTTAGAGACAGCTAAAGTGCGAGTACGTTTTTTTTTTTTTAGACACCCTGTATATAGCAGGAGTAACAAACCAGTTGAGGTTACAATATTCAAAGAATGGTCAAATGGTAGAATTATAAATGCGTATAATTATAAATTAAAATGAAAACTAAACCACTTTTGTAATGTGCAATTGTGATACATATATTACAAGAGGATATGATAATTACCAATATTTATAAATAATTATGACCTACATAGTTGCCAGCCCATTTAAGATGTCTTAATAATAAAGACTTTACATTAATTGTACCCAATGTATTTTGCTGTATGACATCAACACTGCTCTTACTCTATATATTTTAGTATCATTTAAACAAAAACATATGTAATTTCTGATATAGTCTTTATTTGATAATTAACAAAAATTTACATCTAATACATTGAATTTAAAAAGAAAAAAAAAGAAAAAAAAAAAGAAACATAGCAATAGTTTATTAAAACAGCTACATAAGAAAATTTAATAAATTACACTCCTCCCCAGTCTTGAATAGGAGTAGAAGTTTTATCCCTTGTTCCCTTTTTAGGATTGGTTTCCAGTTCCTTCTAAAATATTTTCATTCTCTTTAACACTCAGTAGCTCCTTACAATGGTTCGTTACTTGCTCGCCAAGAAAAAAATAATGGTTGCAGAAATATCAAGGATCTAGCACTTGGTGTTAAATAAAACCATCTAAATTAGTTGTACTTGAGGGTTGGGATATCAACTAAAAACAGTGAAGGACAAAAGTTTTCAATTTCCGATTACTGTTAGAAATATTTTATTAGTATGCAAATATTCTTTAAACTTCTGTGTACCTTCAAACTCAAAAATTATTTAAAGCATTCCTCATGCAGGTGCATTGTTCTTGGAAAAAAGAAAAGACAAAAAAAGAAAAGAAAAAAAACATAAAAGAAAAGGAAATAAACAAAAGAAAAAAGAAGAAGAAAGAAAAAAAAAAAACTTTCATCTTTTGATATTTTTCTTCCAATGCCTCCTTTAATTAGAACAAGTTAGTTTGGATTAAATTTCTCGCTTATGAAGTCAATCATCAAAATACCTTCTTTGTCACTTCCCAACCAAAAATGTGTCATAACCTTTCCTCTAGGCCAAGAAACACATGAATAAGTGAATTAAAGAGATGATTAAAACATATCAGGTTCTCTAGCAGTTGAGAGTTCAATACCGGTGTCTGGTAGTGCTGAAGAGCCTTATCCACTGGTTCAATAGAGAAAAAAAAAAAGCAAAATCTGGTAAGTGAAACAAAAGGTGAGTATTAAATGATATAAGTTATCTCCCCTACACATGGAAAGCAGAATGAAAACAATCTACCCTTTTGGATTGAATAAAGGGCTTAAGTTGGAAATTCTATAAAGTTTACAGAGTATGAAGGAAAACACCTGAAGAAGACCAGAGTGTACAACAGATGAAATACTGCAGATAACAACCATGCATGCTAGTCCAAATCTGATCACATCCTCACTGTATGCCTAACACTTGTAACCTTGTACCAGACTAAGCTTAAATACCTAAAATTCTGGACACATTTTATCATTTAAAATATGAATTGGTATGAAGAAAGAGTAACATAACAGTGATAGATGTTACTAAATTATGACAACTTTTAAT